TCTTTGCTTTCATTGCATGGCAGCCAAAAAAAAGATAGTTTTCTGTGGCGTAAGTGGGCGACAATTTCAATCTCAAAAACACATGAGTAAGTCTAGGAAAGTCATCCAAATCGATAAGGAAGCGCAATATTCGTGGCCGCAAAGTTTTGCTGCTCAATATCAGTAAAGTTTGCGGTACCAGGAGCTGCTAAAACAGAACGAAACTGTTCTTGCAGATGTCTACAGACGTTAATTGAGCAAATTGAACGATGCATTGTGGCGAAAAAGACCAGCAACAGCGGTTAACACATGAAAAATCATACTCTTGTATGACAAAGCTCAGCCGAACGTTGCAAGGGAAGTTCTGTCGCACCCAGAGTACTCACTAAACATGATGCCTTGTAATTACCACTTGTTCAGATGGATGTAGCAGGACTTAGCTGGCACGTAGATTCAAAGTGCTGAAGAAGTGTCAAAAAGTGTCGATGATTGGATCGTTGCCAAATCGCCAATATCGTTCTCTCAACACCGTATCGCCATCTTGCCAGAAAGGTTGTAAAAAATGATGGAAAATATATTAATATGCATTGTACTAATTTTTCTTAATACATCCTTTTTTCAAGTGAAAAAATTATCAGAACACGTGCAAGCATCTACTATTTTATTACCCTTTTACTTATAGAACTTAGTATTATCTTAGCTAATTAAAATAGGAATGCTTTTAATTTTTGTAACAAATACTTAACTAATGTTTTTTGTTGCAAATTTTGCAAAGAAAATAAGAAGAATATCATATAACGTCCCTTAAGTAGCAAATTATGATTATTAGTTGTTAACCGATATTCTTGTTTGCATGAAAAAGCCGTTCCTTTCTTCTAAACAACGTAAGCACAACGTTTGAAAATTTGCCATCACTTAGCCGCAAATTACAAAATAAAAAAAAAAAGAAGGAAAACATACCTTAACATGGAATTAGAAACAATTTCCGTTGACATAATAATCTCAGGAAAGTAATCAAAAAGCAAGAATGCGAAAAATGGAGAGCATGTTAACATCAACTGTTTATTAGGTAACGTGATACTTTATTCAGTAAATTATAAACGATAAATGAAAAGGCACCGATCTTTTCTTTACATTTTCTTCCTCTTTAGAGAAAGAAAAAAATTCTGTTTGGCAATTGACAAAATGTGTTCCTATGTATTTTGTTTCCTCTTCAATGATCTTAAAATTGTCATTATCGTCTGACTTATTGAATTGTTACAAAGATGTGAGGGCCTTTAATTTTTTTTTTTGCAGCTGATCTGTTTGGCAGTGAATACTAATACGTACTGTTCTGGCATATGACTGTGCGATTAAAATAAGATCGTCTTTTTGCCTAACAATCACGAATGCAACTTGTCGTTATTGCTGTTTGTACAGTTAGAAAGAAAATTTAAAAATTAATTTTACGCCTGAGTTGTCAAAGGAAGGGAAGGAAAATGTTGATAATGTAGATTTAGCAGACCACAAAAAGCTTTCGCCTCATTTACGTGAACACGCCTCTGAATGAACGAAAACTTGCATTTGCTCAGCGCGAACGGCTCGTCGTATTGTCAGGACAATTTATCTGTACTGGGCAGGAGACGCGTTCCTGTAAAACTGGTTGGCTAATTTCTGGGGGTCTCTTCGCCATCCTAAAGTTGTAGTGATTCGTTTACATCTTCCTTCACTTATCTTAGAGATCCTATAGATACCAATTTCTTTCCTTATTTCGATTTTTTCAACAGATAATCATTCATTCATACCGTATACTTTTCTTACGCAAGGTACCATAAATTTAATTTGTTCAGAATATCTTGAAATAATCGATTTCTAAACTGCTTGTGACTATACGTAATTAAAAGCTTTTGATCAGTAAATCCGATGTGAATAAGCTTTCGGATAATATTTATTAACAACAAACTAATTACTCCTCTTTTTAATGACCAATCGCACAGTACATGGGCTGTTTTCCTGCAACACGGTGACAGCCAGAAAGAAAAAACAGTGAAGAAATCGGTAGCTATTATGCCTTTATCTATGCCTTTATCTAGACACTCACTATACCTACAACCAAAGTAAACTTTGTCGCAAAGGTATTTGAACCCGCAAATACTGACTTGTTACTCGTGGTTCTTACCTACTCGGCTACTCTTGTGAATACTTGTGGTGAAAGAACGATTTTTATCTATTTCCGTCGATTTCTTAAACACTATGCCACACGCTGTCGATCTTGGCATGGATTCTACAAGACGTTGGCAACTCCGCTCCTGACACTTTTGCGTGAGTACTTCCTACGCTGATTTAAGCTAGCTTTCTTTGTAATTTTCGAACGGTTCGTATATTTAAATACTTAAATATTTATTTAAACACGCGTAAAAGGAATAGCGTCGGGCGATTCAGGTGTCCTTGTGCTCAGAAATCCACTCACCATGGTCTCCACCTAGGCTTTGCCTAAGCTAAAAAGCCGCCATCACCCATATTGTTGTTATCTTAACGACGTTCGACGCCGTAAAACATATATGCGTCGCGGAGGTTTCCACTGAATTAACCCACATCAGTGTCTGGCTATGTATAATAGTTGTGAAATGACATGCCTCCAGGTAGGGCTTTAATCGTCTAAAAGCATAGAAAATTGCAGACACCCTTTTTATGTTGCTGAGTTTACTTAAAAGCCATACGCAATTACACATTCCACTCTATTTTGCAATTGCATTAACACATTCCTAGGTTACTCGCGTTTATTTACACGAAAAAATCGTATGGACGGAAATCTCAAAAATGCGTTTAAATCGGTGTTCAATTTACGAATAACAGAAATGACAGTAACGCTAAATATTCAGGAAATATAATACATTAAGTTAATCTCAAAAATATTAAAACATAATCGATAAAAATATCCTTCGGTAAGAAAGAACGGCAAGACACATAAACAAAAGCCTCCTTAAAAATCAAGGATAATAGTGCTCAAAAAAAAAATTTATCATATTGAAAACAAATAAAAAATAAATAAAAAGAGAAAAGTTTTCGAAAATGAATTACAATTAAAAATGTAACAAATGTAACCATAAAGAAGACCTTCTTCAAGTCACTTAATATAATGCAGTTCAATACACACGGAAAGTGAAATCTTTCCTTTCCCTCAATATATAAGAAAATTTATACATGTGAACGCACATACTATACTCAAACTCACATTGCATTGAGTATTCAAGTGGAAATACTTAATTCCGTTCATTATATGGGTTTTTTTATTTTATTTTATTTGATAAATTTTTTTTAATGTGTGCACATTCAAGTATTCAGCGGCGCGTACAGCTCTGTCTCTTCATACCTCAGTGGCATTAATGAAGAATTCAACAACAAGAAAACAAGATGATGCTGCTGCTGCTGCTAATATTAACGATGCCGATAATGATGGCAACTGCTAAGGACGGTAGGAATTGTAGCATTTGTTTAAGGGGTGTATTATAAATGTCAGAGAATGTTCTGTTTCTGTCTGTTTCTTTTCCTATATTCGTATAAGTGTACATATGCAATTATTCCTATTCCTGTGGTGTTAAATGCAATGTTGATATCCTTTTTAAAGAAAAAAAAATGTATGAAAAATTTTTTAATAATTATGTTTTATTAAAAACTAACAAATGCGAAATGAAATCTAAACTATATACGAAATTTAAAAAAAAAGCGGAGAAGTGTTTTTACCCAGCGGGGGTTTTAATAATTGAATTTTGTATGCTGTCAGAAAAGTGCGAGGAACTACAAGAGTTTATGATATAACATACATTATGTTAGGCTTCTTATGAAGCCCTGTGTTTATCGTAAGATTTAACCTTCTCATATACCCGCTTCTTAGTATACTGTACACTTTTCTATTATACGCGTACAACAAAAAAAGAGCGAAGTCGATTCCGTCAATTTGATATAGAAATTGATTAATCCAACTTCCTCAAAAAAAAAGGTTTTAATAAAACGAATACTTTACTGCTTAAATCTCATCTTTCACAAATTACGGTCGATTTTTCTGCCGGGAATATTGAAACCCCACTATCATCGCTCTTTATTGTAGCTATTTCTGCATCTTGTCCAATTAGGCAACCCCGTCCTCGAAGCAAGTGCTCGCAAACACCTTCAAAGGGTTTTGCGGGCAACTCATGTTTAAGGAATAATCATTACGCTCCGAAGTAAAATAAACCGGAACGCATTCCGCAGCAAAGTCAAGATGTTTGACCAGCAACTCACGTTTAAGGATGAAGATATTAGTTACGGTTCGAAATAGGATAAGCTGGAACGCTTTCTACAGCAGCACTGCAATCAAGATTTTTCACCCGGACTCATATTAAGTTCTATGCTCATATGTTAATTTTTCACAATGTTCGTGCTTTCTAAATTTCATTATGAAAGATATCTTGCTCCTTTTTCAAAGATAGCATGCATGTAGTCGGCCTGAAAACACAAGATTTAATTCTGATCTTTCTATGCGTAAGGGGTGTTAAGCATAACTAATTCAAACTCTGCTTGTAAATGATCTGAACGGTCCCAAGTAGTCACCTAATAGTAGTTGACATGTCTGTCAACCCCCTTCCCCTTTTCAACAACCTTCCATTAATCTTTACTGAGCACATTAATAAAACTATATATTAGATCGTTTGCAATATTTTTCATTTGGTTTTCTATTAATTTTATTTAATTACTAGGTTTTTTATAATTTATTACTAAAACCTCTACAGTTTTTTATAATACTTTTAATATTTTTTACAATATTAATAATAAATTAATTTGAAAAATATACTTCTTACAGTTATCTCTACATAAAAATAAATAATAATTAAAAAAACCATTTCAATAAATTTTCAAATTATTATCAGTTTATTTCATGTTTCCTTTTTAATTAATTTCATATCACTTTTTTCTACAAAATAAAAAAAAACATTGGATCGCGCGTGCGAGAAACTTAAACAAAATAAAATTATTTACAAGTTTTATAAAAGTACCTCACAACTTCAGTCTTCAGTTTTCGTTACGACCGATACGGGCGACGAAGCCGTACTTGAAGTGGCACCAGTAGGACTTTTCGGTGAAGCGGCCGCTGATGAATTCACTGTTAAGCCACCGCTTAGAACTGTTGAGCCTGGTGCTATGGGTGGGCTTTCCCGCGGACTACTATTACTACAGGGTGGACTGACCTGGGCGGCACTGGGTGCCATTGAAAGATTTTGTGGATAACCGGCATTGAAAATTCCGTTCAAATTACTTAAACCCATATATTGGGAGAGTAGAGTATGAAAGTTGGGAAGTTTGTAGTGATGCATAAGACCTTGAGGCAGTAAAGCTGGATTGAATGGTTGATGTAAGGCAAAATGTGGCGGCCAAAATTCGGCGGTTAAACCAGCTGGATGCCCAGGCAAAGCATGCGGCAGAGGTATGCCCAAAGGGAAATCGGCTAAACCTGTACGAGAGGAGAGGAAAAAAAAAATTTTATTAAAATAAAACAAGTATTTAAAAATGTTATCTAATTCAAATAAAAAGCAAGTAAGAATATTATAGTCGGGCAACGCCGGCTTTTAAATATCCTACACCACTGTTCCTTGTTGCTGTTCAAAAATAGAGCTAAGTGATCCAAATTGACTACCCTTACACTAGAAATTTTGGAAATTGTAAGTCCTCCCCATACAAGTATCTTTCAGAATAGCACGTTATGCGGGGAGTGATCGAAAATTTGGTCCGGTCCGAAACATTTTCAATAGCTTTCGTTTTTGCACTAAATTTCATCGAAATATTTCAAAAATTACGGCTTGTAGGTTGAACGCAAAAAAAATTCGGACAGGCAAGCTTAGGTTGACGCAGGCACTGTTTCCACTTGTACCCCTGTCATTACCCCAAAAAAAAAACTGCAATTTTGCAAAACTTGTCGGCTAAAATAGTAATAAAATAGTACAGGGCATTTTAAATTAATGTGAAAGACATGGATCGGATGCGCCAATTTCCTCCCACGTAATGATTCCTACGATAAGTAAGTCTTCATATGCGAAAAATTGTTAATCCATGATGAAAATTGGACCATCTCACTTCTTTAGAGATAAAATAACTTGACTCTAGGACTGTTTTTACGGGGTTAACTCATGTAAGGCAACTGGTTGAAAAAGGGGTACCATCTCAGCCATTTTCGAGAGTCTTTGGTCAGAGAACGCCAGTGTATCATATATCAACAAAATATTTCAAACGTTTTCGGCTATGTTGAGAATGAAAAATATTTTTCATAAATTTTTTTTTTAATTTTTTCCGTTTGCTCGTGAAGTAGAACTAGCCTTACCTATGTGATCTTTTCTTTTTCAGGGAACTTCGAAATTCTCTTCCAGTAAAATCCAATCCCTTTACTTATTTTCATCGACCCTTTCTGCTAGAAGGTCAACATCCTTTGGGAACTTAATATTCTTAAGGTTAAATATTTATTTAAAACAAATACTTTGCCGACATTAAAAGGATTATATATTAATAGACGAATGGGTGTAAGCGAGTAAGCAGCTACGCCACAACGGAAAAGATTTAAAAAATATTCATGGAATAGGTGATGCTTTTGAATTAGCTTTAATGGTAGAAGCAAAGTTTTTCGGTAAACGTGCTAACTTTGCCGCTATTTTCCTATTATATCTATGCAGCGAAAGTACTGCAAGAAAATTTATCAAATATAGGCAATGGATTACAGTCAAGAGGTTTATCGATTGTAGAAAACACGCGTTAGACTAATTATCTTGTGAACTCACTAATAACGTGACTACACATTCCATCTTTTCAATGATTTTGCTTCCTTATTCAAAAAAGAATGCTGTCAAAGCGATATCCTCAGAAGATACAGATAAATATGATATTCGCGGTATTTTTAAAAGGATAAATAGATAAACTTTTAATCAAGAACAAAAATTAAATTAATAAGGTATACACATATATGAAATTAAGTCCTCTTACCTTGTTCGGGTAACAGATAACCATTCTTATCTTGATTCATGAATTTTTCTCGTTTACGCCATTTCGCGCGTCGATTTTGAAACCAAACCTATAAAAAGAAAACAAACAAAACAAAAATTATCACAAAGTTAGTCAATTTAATAAAGTTCGAGCTGCATAAACTTAAGCCTATAATTTCATATAATTACCATAACCTATTATAAAATCTCTATGGACGCTGAATAAATGCCCAATTAACCTCTTTAATCATCACTCAGCTTACTCTTGAAAGGATAAAAATTGTTTTTATTTTTTGTTCTCTCTCCACCCCCTTTTACTGTTCGCTTAAAAACGAAGAACGGTATACACAATATTTAATACAGTTAACGACAACACCAACAGACAATAGAATCCAATCGGAAGTTAAATTCTGTGATTTGTGGCCTTCCTACCCACATACTACATCGGAAAAAAAAGAAACATAAACCAAAAGCCGGCCACTTTTGAAAGACTAAGAGAATAACGACGATAACGACAACAACAGCGACGACAGCACACGTCTTCATTTATGCAATTGAATGACTTAATTCATTGGAGAATTTAGTATTAGGTGTAGAGAGTGAAAAGACATTGCACTTTATATACAAATACAAATGAACATGTGCTTAGATTGATATTTACATACAGCATACCTATAGCTAAGCGCCCTCACCTTACTTAAAAAGCTTGTTTATCCTTGAATGATTTATGGTCTGAAGTATTAAAACAGACGCAGATTGAGATTTCAAAAGCAAAACGTGTTCAAGAAGAGGGAGGTAGAGAAAAGAGGTAAGAGACACTTGTGTGTCTTTTCGTGCTTATTAAAAGCAATTTACAATTGTACTTCATTCACATGCAAAGATATACACGCACACTTACATAAAGTTTAAGGTAATTTTCTAGACCAAAAAGTAACCGAATTGAATCAATTGTCTACACTTCCTGTCATAGCGACTATACAACAATGCAAATACAGGGTCTTATCGTGCAACAATACTATAACTATTTTCAATATACTATTACGTATGTTGTATATTAACACACCACCCTGTGTTGATGTAACTTGAACGCAGAAGACACAACTTTTGCAGAACAATTGCAAATGCAACTGTGCGTGTAGTAAATTAGTAATGATTTCCTGACAATAATTGTTACAAATTATCGTCATAAACATATACAAGCGTACATATATACATATATATTCATGTATCGTTTATAGCAGATAGAAATGATAAAAGCTTGTGAAATTGTCTTCTTTTTGACAAAATCTAGCGTAGAAGGACGTCAAGGAAGTCAAACCTCCCTACTATCTCTCTCTCTCTCTCTCTCTCTCTCTCTCTCTCTCCATCTTTCTATTTCTCACTGTTCATTTCTAGTTCCATTTCATTCAAACGTTTTGTCTTTAGGGAACAAAGTAGATGAAGAATTTGTTGTTAAACAAGCATTTGTAAATAGGTATTGTGTCTTTTCTCTACAGTGTTATGTTATTGGCATGCAAGAAAGGAGAGCGAAAGAGAGCAAAAACCATGCAATGTTTATATCCAGAAAAGTAGGAGGTTTCTTTGTATATATGAAATTATCACCCATTTAAATGATATGACAATTTTAATTGTTACAAGGACAATTATGTTCTATTATTATGGGTAATTAAACGTTGAAGGATGACAACTACGATGATGATAGCAATGATGCCGATAATAATGATTCTGATGATGATGTTGAATGACTATGACTATAGTACTATTATATGAGATCATATTAAAATGTGTTGATGAATAATGGTGAGGAAAACAATATGTGATGAAAAGTTTTACTCTGATACGTATGTAATAGTGAATTTTATAAAATTTCCTTAATGCATAGAATTGCTATAGAGAAAAGCGAGAGCAAGAGCTTTAAAGAAATTCTTACATTTTCTAGGGGTCAAGGCGGGTTCTGCTATTACAGGCAGAAACAGGCGACAAAGGTTTCATAAGGTATAGACATGTAAAGTATATATGGATAAGGTATATACATCCTATCTTTGTACTGCATTTATTTTCGTAAAACAGCGAAAAAAACATTTGTTGTGTAGCGTCCGTAACACAGCTGTAACTTTTGAACCAACAATTGAAATGTCAGTAAATTTTGTTACATTTTCTTTGAAGGTTAGTGTTACCTAAAGGTCACTCTATATCTGTTTATCATACTGAAAAGTTATTAAGTGATGTGTTATATTCGTGATCAAAGGCAGATTTAGGATATTCATCCCTCATTTTGATAACGACTTTCTCGTTAGGATTTTACAGATAACGAACCACCGGTACTCAGATTGGTACCGTTAAGTAGTAAGTAAGTTATTGATACTTAAATAAGCGTTTTCAAGAAGAGGTTACCACAACGTCCTCTAAACTTATTGTAAGTGGACATTCTTATCCTAATATATCCAAAACATGGAACAAATACGGTTCAGACTCGATGATATAATGTTTCGCTTAATCATCTTTTGACTAACATTTCTATTAGGGTAAGAAACACTGCTAGCTCTTTACTCTTTTGAATATAACAAAATTGACTGTGATATTCAATCTGATCAGGAATATCTAAGGAAATCGTAATTTTTGACACATCTATGTGAGCGACTCAAATAGACATCTTTTCATAGTGGAATCAATTATTTTAAGTGATAAGTTTACTTCACTTTTTTTAACTCTTTAAAGCGTTTTGTTATAGGCTCGTTAAGCTATGATAATCTATAAAAACAAACCGGCAAACAAAACCTCTTACTTAATAAGACATGACCAAACAACATAAACCGGTTAATAAATGGCAATAAAATGGATACAAAATACATAATAAGAGAAACGACAATAAAAATGTTAATAAAATAAAAATAATATTAAATCCCATAATGATTGAAGCAAATTGTTTGAAAAAAAAAATATATGAATCAACAAAATACACAACGTATACAAAGCTTAGATCAGATATGAGAGCGTATGTGAGTTTATGTCCTTCCAAGTGCATTAAATCCGAAAATAATTGCCTTGCTACACACGTACTCGTGTATGCGTGTACATATTTATGATTTTCTTTCCCTTCCAACGGAAAATAAGGTTTGTGAAAAAATAAGTGTATATAGCTCATATACATAAGCTACAAACAACATCATATATCATATCGAAAAGCAGAGCATAAATATTTATGTTGAAAAAACTTGAACGTATAAAACGAAAACAAAAAATAAATAAATAAAAACTGAAATAAAATTGTCGAGGATTAAAGCAGTCGCTGTTTTTTTTTTATCATATTATATGCTACATTGAAAAAATTCGTTTTAGAGAAAGATTTTATCAATGACCAATTAACGTAACATGTTTACATTATCTTTTTTTTTCTTTCTTGTTTTCCCCAAACAATCTACCGATAAGTCTATACGATGATGAGAAGACACGATGATAATGATTATCCATTGATGGCGGACGATTTTATGACAACATTTGCAAAAGGGTAGATAGCAGATATTTAAAAGTTTTATATGGTATTCAAACGAGGAGTACACTTTGAACAGCGAGGCAATCAACAGACAATTGCCAAACAAACAGATTATAGGTAGATAGGTCAAGTGTCTATGTTCCGCTATATAAATCCTTAATAACATATGTTTTTTTTTGTTCCTTACGTTTCCTTTTTAATATCAGATTTTAAATATTTTAATTGTTGTTGTTTTATGATTGTTGGAGTTAGCACCCTAATCATGTGCGAATTGAGTTCAAATCTCTACAGAAAAAAAAATCGTAAACAAAAACTACCCCTATTTTGATATACATTTCATTTAGAGAGTTAATAGTATAGTATCACTACGGCCACCACGATCATCGTCATCGTATTACTATATTATTATTCCCTTCGGTTTGCATATTTAAAAGTAAAAAACAGTTCAATCATTCGGAAAATCTTTACTAAATACTTTATAATTCTCATTACTCCTATATATGTAACGTAAACGTTCCGAATATTGCTTTGCTTTAGTTTCTCACCCCTCATCCTTTTTCTTTTTTCGTTATCCTTTCTACAACTTCATCGTTTTTTAATTTGCTGTTTAAAAGTGTTTTAAAACTATTTACACAACATTAGCGTTGGTTCGTTATGTTATTAAACATCAACACATACAGCGTACGCACGCAAATCCTTTTCAACAGAACAGGATGCTTCATGATTAGCTATTAAGTTGAGGCGATTGCACTTATGCTCGTATTGTTATGCAAATTTCTTTTTAATGTGCATTTCATTTGAGGAAGAAATCATTTTTTTGGCTTGTAATCTTTAGCGCTAAAAGAATTGTTTCTAATGTCAATAATAAGTCATTGAAGGAAGCTTTTAATAGGTTAAAGCTAACTACTGTCAACGACGCTCTTGTTAAAGAATTAAAGTTAGCGGCAAAATTGTTTAACATAGCCTAAGCGTAGGCTTAAGTATACACGGTGTCCTTTATTCGGGAGTGATGACGCCCTTTATAACAGCTTTCAATATACCAGGACGCATACACATATAAATGAACGAAAGGATGAATAGAAGAATGAGAAGTTTACCAATGAATAAAAGATAGATCGATTAACAGAAGCGACAGACGTGAACATAAGACGACGAATGTATGGTGAATCAAAGTGAAATGGGGCAGGCAGGAGAGATGAAGAAAAGACGGGATAGAAAGGCGAAGTTAAAGAATAGATAACAGAAACGAGGGAAGAGCCGTCGGAACAAATGGTGCAAGCAAGACCTGGAAAGCGACAGACAGGAAGAAATGATCCACGCTAAGATAAAAGCGAAGATGCTAAGATAAAAGCGAATAAGGTGAACAAACGCTTGGCAACTTGGTCCTTGCCGGCATATGTAAGTACGAAAAGGAGGAAAAACGAAGTGATTAACCGGAGAATAATCGGAAAAACGATCTCAAAGCAACGAAAGAACAGAAAGACAAGCAGAACAATGAATTGAATTACGGTTGAATCGTCGATTTTAAAGAAGTAAGCGAGAGAAGAAAAGAATGGTAGGAGTAATGAAAAGGCTACGAAGAAAACACATGAAGGAGTTAACTCTAGAAAATAACGACATATTAGAGAACAATTTCACAAGAAATGAATTTAAAAACATGTTGCAACCAAATTCAAACGCTTTACTGCTATAAACGCTGATAATTATTTACTAATTAACTGTAATTATAAAAGCAATTAATAGCCAACTATTCATGGGGACTCTTAATAGTCCGTTAATAACTACACATTAACGTTAAACATTGTTGTCCTCACTTTTGACGTAAACCTTTGATGTATTATCTAAAAGTTATATTTAATTGCGAATAATTGAATTGAATTTCCTCTTACTTATCAATTTCATTGCCTACCTGGACACGTGCTTCACTTAAATCCAAACGCATCGCTAAATCTTCACGTGTAAAAACATCCGGATATTGAGTCTTTTCAAATGCACGCTCCAATTGATGCAACTGAAATGTTGTAAAGGTGGTGCGTGATCTAAAATGATATAATAGTGAAATATAATATCAATAAGACGAACAAGAATAAAAAGAAGAAAAAATAATAGGATAAAAATATATTTAAGAGGATTTTCTAATTGTATATATATCCAGATATCCTTTGTTGTACGTACCGTCTTACTTTACGCGGCCGTTCCATATCATTCATGTCGTGACCGTTATTCAAACTATTGGACATATCGTCGTCGGTATTATCGACATCGACACCATTGTCTGGCGTAGTGGGCGATTCATCGCAATCACGTTCACGTTTCTCAGCATGCTGTTGTTGCTGTTGTTGATGCTGTTGTTGTTGCTGCTGTTGCTGAAGTTGTTGTAGTTTTTGCTGCTGTTGATGATGATGATGATGATGATGCATCTGATGCTGTTGTAGGGCCAATTGATGTTGAGGTATTAAATGAAGATGTGTATGCAAGTGTGGGGCCAACGTTTGTTGTAATGTATTAGAGGAGGCGGCGTTATTGTTTTGACTACCATTATTATTGTTGCTATTGTTATTGTTAATACCGTTGCTATGATTGTGTAATGTAGACAGGTGTTGATGATGACTTAAAGACTCGCTTGAATCTGAAAACAAACCAAAACAATTTTTTTTTCAAATAGAAATAACTCTAACGTGAAACGAAAGAAGTTAAAAAAATTATATTCGGTCGTGACCGAATCTTCTATATCCGTACGTTATCACCGTTATCGTAAAAAAGACAAAAAACGTAAAAGAACTACATTTTCATATTCTATAATACGGAGTGTACGAGGAGAATATATCTATTTTCATGAGTGGTCTCACGTGTCCATGGAAAAGTTTAGGTCACTTCCGAATTCTTTGCAAATTTGTCGGTGATATCTTCATTTTGGCTAATGGAAAAATGTTTTCTACAAATCGAAAACAGATGGAAAAACGAATATGCTTAGGTGCATTTAGAATTTCAAATTGGGCAAGATTTTATATACGTAAGTGGGCTTTGAATTTGCTTCGCGTGGTTAATCTCTTCCCTTTTTGTACAGCTGCTACAGCGTCCCCCATAGAATATGCGTTCGTATTTTCGTACATTATCTACGATAGTTGATGAATAAGGACCGAAAGATCAATATTTTATTTCTTTTAAAAGCAGAGGTATTCTCAATTTACGTGGTGCTGCGGACGTGTGTTGCAAACGATTTGGTCCAGTTTCAATTATAACCTGCGTGCAAGAACTTCCAATGGCCAATTGAATCGATTCAGATTTTTATGCTGAGCAAGAATATATATACGTGGTGGGGTCTCTGAAGCTTCCTTTTGAACATGGCAAACGCTTTGACAAAATGATTACGCCACTCATCTTTCAGTAATGAGTATAAAACGGAAGAATTTGCTAAACTTTAACATTACATAACGTTAACAATATGTTCCATAGTTGCAAACACCAAATTGCATGGAAACTAATGTCTTATTTTGTAAAACAACAGAAAAAAAGTTAGGTTCTTGGCAACGGTACTTATAACTTAATTACTGAAAGGAGAAAGCTGGGTCAAAATTCACTTGTCTAGAAAGTTGTATGTTATTGGTGTCACCGCCGCTTTCGTTTCAGTTAGGTAGCCCTCGTTTAAAAAGTTGATGGCAATGTATCACACTGCTTTTATATCCGTGCAGGTTGCCTTTTCTCGGCTTAGGACGTCCATAAAATGATACTACGCGACAGCTAAGTTCAATTAAATTAAGGAAAATAAATTTTTAAAGATTTAAGAATAGAAGAAATTTATTTTATTAAAAAAACTGTAAACTAAAAGAATAACATTAAAATCGTTTAAAAAATTTTCTTTAATGCCGATTTTTTTTATTTGGCTGATTCGTATTAGTCTTTAGAACTCATTTCTGAGCATAAACCGTTCACATAGACAACTTTGGCGAAAAAGGGGTTCTGATGACTGCGCTCTAATGGCTATAGGCCCAATCGGTAAGTGCTATGCATTCACTGACTCACTATCAAAGTCCGCATTTAGTAGTTGCAATTCTTAACTAGACGGTCGTTCATCGTTCGTGAACTGGCAGCATTGGGTCGCTGAGCAGAAAAAACTCGTTATAGAAGGTAATTAGCCGGCCAGTTGCGTTGCTGTATTATATAATACCCTATCAAGAAAGCGAGCGACCTCGGCCAACAAAAGTATTACAACACATCTCTCTTAAAGAATATAACATAACATAAATTAGGTTTTCTCACCCAGGCCATAGGCACGAATGTTTGCAGCGAACTTGAGCGAGACCCTCCTGCAACAATTTTCGCTCTCTGCATACATTCACAAGATATTGCCGAAAATCGCATTTATAATTTGAAAGCAAAATCTTAATTACTTATATTCTGGTTTTCTAGACTTTACCACTTTGATCGGCTAATATACGGCAACTAGGTGGAGGGTTAGTGAATTTTTTGCAAATTATCTCAATTTTTTATTTTTAATAAAAAAATATTTTTGCTTTTTTTCTTCATAAATTTTCTCAATATTTTGCGCCTTTTATTGAAGAACTAAGCAAATAATCAAGAAAAATGCTCTTATTTTATTATAACAACAATACCAATAACTACAATGAATTAAAATTCTTGAAAAAAATAAAAAAAATCTACTTAAATGAAATCAATAAATTGACGGAAAAAGAGAGGGGGGAAAATTAAGGAAGAAAAGAAACTCATTCTGGCACAATGTTCAATATTTTAAGTAAACACACGAAATCAGATGTTAAGTGTATAAGCAAACAATGGGTTAAAAAATTCAAACAATTGATGAATGTTTACACACAGACACACTTACGTACACATATAAATGCGCAAAACGCAAAAATTGCAAATTCAATTCATTTCAAAATTGAATTCAATTGAATTGATATGAATTTGATTCATTGCATACTTGAATGAGTCAAAGGAAATAGCAAGTGAGAAGCAGAGAGGAACAGAGACGGAAAGAATAGGCATAAAAAAGATATATGAAAGAAGCAATAACGCGAACAGCCAAAACTAAATTGTACATAAAGTTCTTAACAATAAGAGCGAACTTAACTTGCAAATGTGTTGACTAAGCTATTTGTAAACCTATGTGTATATGCGTGTATGTACGTCTTAAGTATAAACATCCTTTACGAGCAAAGAGCTTTGCATAACTGGGCGCGCAAATTTCAAATCAACCAATAATAGAAATAATAAGAAAAGCTGCTCTTGAAGGCTCCCTCTGGAAACCTTTTTCTTCGTCTTTTTTTTTTTTCATTGCAATTATTTACTGAATCATAAAAGTGTTACAAAATACATAACCGATATCAATACATATAAAAATTGAATACGTTAAAAACCAGTTTGTGCACAATATTACAATAGAAAGCAAGCAAAAGGAAGACTAAAAAGAAACCCTTTTATTGAAAATTTTAAAACAAATTAAAAAAAAATTTTGGAATTATTTCATATAAGTATATCATCCGAGGTAACCTATAATCAAAATTAAATGAACCTCAAATTAATAATTTCGCTTACATGCACACGCGCGAACTCATGAACACATAATAACTAGATTTCTATATAGTATTCTACAGGATTGTTCGCACACTAGGATAGAATTTTTTTTTGTTTTCTAAAGTCTACAACATAGCATAGAGCATGTTTTGCACAGCATGACATCCAGCTTTAAGTGAAAAGACAAAGCAAAAAAATTGCATACGTTCCAGAAGGGCAAAGGAAATATTTGTGATGAAAATTTTCAAAAATCATTTTCTCTGTGTTGGTAATTTATATAAGCCTCAAATTATCGTTACCGTCCATCTATCCATCCATCTATCCGTTCAACCAACCAGCCTGGCAGTTATTCAACACCGTTATCGTACGGAAAATAATAAGCAAATTATGATATGACTCGCATTTGGTAAACGTACTACGCAAGGTTAAATTGCTGAAATGTGATTATCATGAAAAATGAGCGCGCATTAGGAAAAACCTACGCTTTTTAGTCGCGCAAGTAAATGTCATATCCGCACACATACGCACGTACAAATATCTAGATTGTTCACTCACTGAGTCAGTCACATACAATCATACAAGCATTTGTCAATAGCTGATTTTGATGAGCACAGATGATATCCTGTTGAGCTTTTATGGAACATAGTGACGTATCGACTGAGTGCAAGCGAATGTATGTATATACAGTATTATTATTTTTGCCGCTTGTTCAGCTTGCCATGCAACAGCATCATAAACGTGAACATTTATCGGAAAGACATACGAAATTATTTTTATTAAAGCTGTTAATGGGCGTTTAAAGCTTTTTTCTCTTTTGTTTGTTGTTTTTCTTATTCCTTTTTGACATCAAACCAAAACTTTTTTTTTTTTCAAAATGCAAGTGATACCTTCTAAGGTAGGTGTTAATTACGGCTATAAAACACCCAAGGTTAAATCCAATTTAAATTGTTTTATCAGTAATATTTCTTTTCAGGTAAATGACAGTTGAAAATGAACTCTCATTACCCTATAGAGAAAACCAAATATCACTTAAAAAGTTTATTAGAAAAGACTTCGGAAAGGGACACCGAGAGGAGGAGAGACAGTGAGAGAAAGCGAAAGAGAAATCATCAAGCCAGGTGCAGACGTTAAACCCACAGAGCGATCTAAAATAAAACTTTTACCTAATTAAGTTTCTTCTGCTAAACAAAACATGACGCATTCAATTTTCCCCAGATTTCAGCTATAGACATCGTAAGTATCGATGTTTGAAGGATGTGAGTTTCAATCATTTGCAAGAACTGGAAACTTGGACTTAAATTCGACAAATACTCCATAAGAGAAAAGCGTGAAAACTTGTACAAGAACACCAGATAGTGCACCATAAAGGTTATAATAAATAGGTCCGTTCGGTTGCATTTTTTGACTACTTGCCGTATAATTCCTTATTTTGAATAGTCGTTATATGGGAAAAAATTGTAGTTTCAAAATTTTTCGACGAAACTCATTGGGTAATAGTATTTCGACATTCCAAAGAGATACAAAAAATTTGGTTCAGTCGGGAGCGTCATTTATATAATCGTTCCTATGAAAAAAACTATCTTTTTATCGTAAAAATGTCTAATATTGAATATTTCTTGGTGAAGATTGGTCTGTAAGAGTAAATTGACAAAGAAATCAATCTTAACGAATTTCCTGAGAAGGAAACGTGAGCTCTTGTATGCCAAAAAAGCATATTTGTTAATGTTTTACAATTAAAATTTTTTCATGATAGTAATTCGCTATGGAAATTAAGTCAGATTCTGCATAAATAGTAAGTGCTTCAAAAAAAGTTTAATTTGTACTATTTTAAGATGAAAATTTAATCATAGTAGCATCTTACCAACAGAATGAACGTTAGGGCATTTGGATCACATAGCTGTGTTGTTTGGACCCTAAAATATATAAGGATTATCATGATAAGCAAGCTCTTATATGGAGAAGAAGTGTAATTTCTACTTTTCTCTAATGGAAACTGAAAAATTTTGGCATCCTCCAATATGGTGGCTTTCATTGTCTTTGCATGAAAATAATGTATAATATTTGATGTGTTATTACCAAAATGAGCAAATAACT